TTTATATGTCCGATGAAAATGATTCAAATATCACAATGAATCCGATTATTGTTCGATATCGATCGACAATGATTCTTCTTTCGGTTTAATCATGTTCAATTTAATTAGATTAGATTTTGATTAAAAAAAAAATTGAGAAAAGTACAACGATAGATATATTGATAAATTATTTATTATAGTATTCTACGAAATGTATCGTATTCTCAGAAGAATGCGGATGTTCATCGATAAGAAAAAAAAAAAATACAACTCGTGTCGATATGATGAAAAAAAAAAATAAAAAAAAAAAAAAAACCAGTCGAGTTGACAAGGGTGAATTGAAGTAGAAGAAAAAGAAGAGGGGTAAGAAGAGGGGGTGTAACGAAAGGAAAGGTAAGGTAAGGTAAGGTAAGGAAGGTTTTCTTTATGTAACCATGGCCCATTACTTCCATGCTGGGGGCACGCGAACCATATGCTCCACGTGGCCTGTTACCATCCACCAGGTTCTTCTTCTTCTTCTTTTTATTTTTATTTTTTGTTGATTTTTTTTCTTCTTCTTTTTCTTCTTCTTGGACACCCGATCGAGACCTATCGAATTAACGAAATTTAAACTTTGCACGCGCGACCGACTCTCGTTTCACCTCGCTTCACGACCACTTTATTGGCTTTCATGGGAAAAACTCATTTTAAACTTCCTTGCCTTCGATATTTACCCTAAACGTTTTTCTTTTTTTCTGTTTTCTTTTCTTACGTGCAGTTATGCATGTAATTTAACAAAAAAGAAATTTAATTTGTCAATATTTATAAAGGAAATAAATGATAATAAATGTAAATTACTTTGAAAATATTATAATAATTAATACTATGACGTGCGGTGGTTGCACGTTGGTGTCATGCGAAAACTATCATGCAAGCGTGATACAATCACAAAGTACAAAGTACAAAGTACAAAGTACAAAGTATTTCATAACTATATATAATATAATATATAAATATAAGCGCGACCCAAAAAAATGAAATTAGACGTGCGGACGGCATAGTGTTAGATATAATAATAATATCAAAATTACGTATTATTTTGGAAATAAATCATTTCTAATTTTTTTATTACAACCCCCCTTTTCCCTAAGCATCGCCTGAACTTAGGATTTTTCAGTCAGGATATTCCATTTTTCTTAGAAATTATTCCATACGAATGAATGTAAATGATCTGATTTGTTTTTGATTTTTTCCTTTTGTTTGTTTGTTTTTCTATTTCTTTTTCTACACGACTGTAAAGATAAGAAAAGCGAGCCAAAAGAAGGTAAGCAAAAGATGCAAGTGTAACACCTGGAGTAGGAACCGGTTTCAGTTAATTCCGGATGTTCGATGGTACTTCGGTGTTCTTAGCTCTATTACGTTTTAATTTTTTTCTTTTTTCTTTTTTCTTTAAATATTACTAAATATATGTGTATATGCATTATTTATATTATACTGACTATTTTGAAATATATATCCAATTGTTTAAAAACAAAAACAAAAACAAAATAAGACAATTTTTATTCAAATTTTTTTCCATAATAAAATCCCGGAAATTAGTTAATAAATAATATCATTATAAATTTACCCCTATATATTATTACTTTCCCATAGAAATACTATTTTATTTAGGTGGGAATAATAGTAAACCTTATTTACTCTCACATATATTATAGACTGTATCAGTGCTTAAGGTTTTAGACATTAATTAGCTCATTTCCTGTTTTTTATTTGTTTCATACAAGTCAGGAAATTGTTCGACACTATTAGTTTCCATTTCTAACGTTAAATGTACAAACAGGAAATGTTCTATATACTATTCTTTATATTATTTTACATTAACGTACTTTATCTAATAATTTTCTTTTTCCACTCTCTCACCTATTTTATATTTAACAATAATAATACAAATATACAAATTGCGTGCAACACTGGTGTCTAGTTTTTATTACATGGGGATTTATTTCATTCGTTAATTTCATTTCTATTCGTACGATTTATCTTTTCAATTACTCAAAGTGAAATGATGAGATCATTCGTTCTTTTAGAAATGATTAAATGTTAAAAGAAAAGAAAAAAAAACCCAATAAATATAGGAAAGAAAGTTTACGATAAGCTAGTGACATCCGTGATGATGATGATGATGATGATGATGATGATGATGATGGTGATGACGATGATTTTTAATCAATTCAACGTAATCTTATAAATTGTTTGAACGAATAACATGAAAATACATGTTCAATTTAGCTTTAAAAACCACCAATGAAAAGTTAGAAAATACTTGACACTTCTTATCGATAAATACTTTTTTATTTTCTTCCATTTTTTTTTCTTTTTCTTTTTAACTACTCGACGAAAGATTATTAACAAAAAAAAATAGGGGCTACGAGTTGATTGTGTTTGTTTTGAATCATGCACAATAAATCGTGAAATGCAATGATGACAAAATTTATATATTTCCTTTTTCTTTTTAACTGCTATGTCTTTATCATTTAGTTTCAAAGCCAAGATTACAACGACAAAGAGAGAAAGAGAGAGAGAGAGAGAGAGAGAGAGAGAGGAAGATATCACAGAAACGAGAAACTCATTCGTTCGTTCGATTCTATTATCGTGTTACACTATCATATCCATTACGTTGTCTATTTGCAATGTTATTTTTTCATATTTGATCAAAGATAATTATCGATTTTCATCCTTCAGCTTTTAATGCACCAAACACGCTTCTGTGAGAAGACCTAATCAAAGAGAAAGAGAGAGAGAGAGAGAGAGAGAGAGAGAGAGAAAGTGAAATCACCTTCATTACAATTAAAATCCAATGATATTTTCTATTTTATTTTTTTATTTTAATTTTCGTCTTTTCTTTCTCTCTCTCTCTCTCTCTCTCTCTCTCTCTCTCCTATTATTTTTCTCTATATTTTTATTCTATTAACACTATACCGTCCGCAAGTCTAATCTGCATTTTTTCATGTATTTATTATTCCGGTATTTATATATATTATTATATATTATATAATATATATTATATATAGTCAGAGTAAATAATATATCTATTATATTATATTATATTATATTATATTATATTCTAATTAATTATTAGGATTTATTTTGATTCTTATTTGTATATATTTTTTTATTTCACGAATTAAAATTTTGTTGTATAAATTGAGAAAACAATTCATAGAGAATGCGAATTGGTCAGTTGCATTGAACAATGATTCAAATTTAATTGTTCTCTTACATTAATTGTGGCAACCTGATAGAATATTTCCTATAAAGTTAATAACAATCACAAGAAGGAAGGAAAGAGAGAAAGAGTGAAGAGAGTGTTATTTCGTAATTATTCGATAGTATCAAATAATTCTCGTCAATCGATACTCGTCATCGCGATTATCGATGCATCCATATCGGTGACAATAAACAGAGACCACGATAATCACACATCGATAGCATACTGAACATGAGTCAGTATAACTTTGTTGTTTTTTTTTTCTTTCTTCTTTTTTGTCGAAATTTAACTTTAATATAAATACACGCAAACGGATATGTAATATCAAATGTACACAGATTAACAATTTAACTGGTAATTTTTCTATGATTTCGTATGATTTGATAAATAAAAAAATAAAAAAAAATAAAAATAAAATCAAATGATTTTTAATGAAACCTAAAAAAAACACAACAAAACAAAGTAATTATTATTTATATTAAGTTTGTATTTTTTTCTTGTTTTTTTTTTTTTTTCATTAAATGTGTCCGTCAAATCTTCAATCGATTAAGTGTGAAAATTTATTAATAAAATTGATTGAAAATAGGTATGTACTTAGATATAAATGTGTAAAAGCATTTGAAAATTATTGGATTGTTTTCGCGAAGAACAGTCAGGTATAAAAACGGCTACATATAACCGTAGATATCCTATCTCTTTATACGGATAAAAATATAATGATAAAGTACGAGAACACGGTTGGTTGGCGAGGGGTTAGTAGTAGACATTCATTAGCTCACCATCGTCTATATTAACCACCGAGAAAGGCTTGACAAAATTAATCGCATCTTCGTGCTCTTACCTACAACAACAAATCTTTTTTACTTTTTAATATTTTACATTTTTCCTTTTTTTTTCTTTTCTGTCCGAAATTATTATTCAACATCCAACATATACAGTGAAGATCAATTTGTGTGCACGGATTAAATATTAATTAAAAAAAAGAAATATTATATACGGAAATTTGGTGAATTTTACGATAAGAAGAATATATATATATATATACATAAGAAGAAAAATATTACAAATATGAAGCTGAGATTTTTATACGCGATCCTAATTGCGATCGTAATAGTAAGAGGTGAGAATTATTCTTCATTGGTGAAACAAACGTAAATGCATACAAAATCATTTAGTAATATTGTGATCTTCGCGAACAAATGAAGGAATGTATTTTATTTTAAAAAAACATCAATTGATTGAATTGTTATTAATAGGGGAGGAAGGGAATCAAACCAATACGACAACAGAAACACCGACAACAAAAACAACGACAACAGAAACACCGACAACAAAAACAACGAC